GAGGAAAAGAGCACATTTCAATCGGCTCATATCCATTTGCAAAAAACTATTCCGTTAACTGCATTCGAATTTATTTGCAACTCTACTGTAAAACGTAACTAGATTTGTCAGCCGGGGCTACGCTTAATTTGTCGAACAAATTTTTGCAGTTCTGCCAATAAATATGGCTGGTCGAAGATACGCATTTTCGCTGCCTGAATCAGCAGCTCCCGATGCCCACAGTGTAATCTACTTTATACCAGTCCTGCAACCAACAACTTTGCACATAGCAGCGTATACTGCTAACCGCTCCGATTCTTACGATTTAAAAATTGATGTTAGTTAAAAAATACTGTTTTAACTTTGTTTCTGAGTTTTCAAGATAAGTTCAAGACAAATTTGATATATTTACACATGAAACGTAAAAAGAATGTGAAGGTCGTCGGTCGGCCAAACATGTTCATGTAGGGTCGTCGGCCGTGCTCAGAAAGTTATAGTCCTCTAGCTGTTTTAGTTCTGAAGTTACAAAATTGTCTACATCAAATTTTATGCATTTGTACGTCATACTTAAAGGTACACAAATTCTAGTGTTGGAGTGGTGCTGTTCCAAATTATAGTATGTACGTATTTAGTTCTAGCGCTCTGTAAAGGCTGAGTGTAAGTCTTTTGAGTCATACCGTTCAGGGAAGTTGTTCTCGAAGTTGTTGTTTTTGTTGTTCTCAAAGTCCAACCTTCTCGGAGTTGTTTTTCCACCAAAAAATTTTTCATGTGTCCGTACGGGAGAACCAGGAGGAAGCGTATGTTCATTTTGAACCTATCAACTCGTAAAAAGGTAAAACTGACTAGCCAAATTTTCAGCTTCGTAGCCTTCATTCGAGATCGAGATACCCGGATAGGTGCTATGTACGCATTGGCACACACAGACAACCCCTCGATCATATACTTTTTTTGAATTACACAAATGCTAAAAAACATAATAAATAGCGGCGCACATCAGGGCAGCCTGGCGATCATGCGTTTTGTGCAATCACGTCCACCGAACGATTGCCTGCTAATGATTTTCACTGTTCTGCACTTTAATCTATGCAAAAATAGTTGAAACGTTGTCTGGTTTTTAAGTTACGGAATTTCCCACCAAAAATTTCACGCATACGAGATAATAATTTTTCTTGAAAAACTTTCAAGAAAAATTATTATCTCGTACGTGGTGTCCAGGGGTGAGTAAAGGCTGAATCAAAATTTACGAAGTTGTGCCTTAGTAGAGGAGATCACCCTAAAATTTCAGATTTCCAACTTCGCGGTCTTCGAGATAATAGTTTTCCCCGTCGAAACTTTTATGGGGCTGTAGGTGATAGTCGGACGCACGGGATGGCTGAATTTAAAACTGTAGGATCGTATGCCAACAGAAGACACCGTAAAATTTTAGCTTCCTGGCTTTTATGGTTCCCGAGACAATAATTTTGCTGTCAAGATTTTCATGGGACTGCAGGACGATGAATTTGAATTTGCGAGGCAGTTCGTGGGAAGGAGATAAAAATTTCAGCTTCCTGGATTTCGTGGCTCCCGAGGTAATAACTTACCTGCAAAAACTTTCACTAGGCTGTAGGTGATACCCGAGAGCTGAAATTTTATTGTGTTATAGATGACATCCGAGTGATTCCTTGAATTTGAGTCTGCAAGGTTCAAATTCAAATTCCTAGATTCTACAATTTCTTCCTTTCAAAAATTCAACTCAGAAATTCAATTCAATCAACTTTTTGAATTCCGTGATTCCCGAGATAAAAGTCTACTCACCAAAATTTTCATAGAGGCGCTTCTATTGCCCACGAGCAGGAGAAGGCTGAATTTAAATTTCCCGGGTAACACGTGTGCAGGGGGCATGCCCACAAAATTTCAGCCTTCAAGTTTCCGCGGTTTCCGTGACAATAATTTTATCAGCCCAAACTTTTACGGGGCCGTTCGTGCTGCCCGTGGGTACGGGAAGGCTGAATTTGAATTTGCGAGGTCACACATGGGTGAGGAATTTTTCAGCTTCCAGCTTCCTAAGTTTTCAGCTTCCTAACTTTCCTAGTTTTTGTGGTTCCCGGGTTGAAGAAAGTTGCGGAAAGTTGCTGTGGACACACACATAGACAACTCCATTACAATGTCTTTTGTACTTCTGTCACACAGCACAAAACGCATTAAAAGCGTTTGTCAGCTGTATCGAAATAAAGAAGCGAATGCAGCTGCTCGACCGACACATCTCATGCATTTGCTAAAATCCATTCGCACCGCAGTTGGATTGGCCTGAACCATTAAATTTCAGCCTTCGGAGCCTGTTCAAGCCTATTTTGGATCCAATGAAGCCATCACAATGTATATTTCGGCTCATATTCCATTTCAAGTGATCGTGTCAATGCAACAATTGCTCCTCAATTATTTTTTGTTCAAAAGGCATGTAGATTTTGGGTGTACAATGGCTGCTCCAGTTGCAGAGCGCGGTTTGTTATACAGTATATTTATCCGTTCGCTGACGCACAACTTGTGTTTTTTTCCTATTTTAGGTCGTTCTGCCCGTAAACTTTTGAAGATGTTCATTACTTGAAAATTATTGGTTCTTTTAAACGCTGCTGTAAGGTCCTGTTTGTTGGTTTGAGACACTGTGCTTCTTTGCATTCGATTAGACAGTAAATTGCTATTACAATATTTAACTTGTAGAAAGTCAAAATTTCTCAAGTAGCTTTTAGTGAAGCGAACTACAGTACCGCAGTTTCTGTTAAAAAATTAATATAATCCGATCCTTCTCCAAGTTTCCGCGCCAAACCAGCGCAAAAAGTCCAGTGCAGTCCCCAGCAGCGCAGTCCTCGGCATCTACAGCTCTTTTTTCAAAATGCTTTTATTATTAAAAACCCAAGCTGGAACGCACCAGGTGAGCCGGGCGATCATATGTTTTTGCACCAGACTTGAAGTAATTAGGTTAACTGAATGAGTGGTTATTTCTTCACATCTACCCCGTGCCTTCAATACCGTAAATCATCGCAAATTTTGCGTGAAAAAAAATAAACAATTTCCGTTTGGCGGTCGTTTTTTGAAAATGACCCAGCCGTTCAACGAGTAATTTTCCCGCCAAAAGTTTAAGTGCCCGTACACGAGAGCCACGCACGCCTGGGGGCCGAATTTGATAACTTCAAGTCTTATATGGGCTGGGAACATCTCCTGAAAATTTCACACTCCCAGCTTTACTGGTCCCCGAGTTAGCCATTTTCCCGCTAAAAAATTTCACGGAACCGAACGTCAGAACCACGTATGACGGGGGCTGAATTTGATAACTTTAAGTCGTACTTGGGCTGGGAAGGTCCCCTGAAAATTTCAGCCTCCCAGCTTTGCTAGCTCCCGAGTTAGCCAATTTCTCGCCGAAAAATCTCACGAGGTCATACGTGAGAACCGGGCATGCCTGAGGGATGAATTTGATAACTTTAAGCCGTACATGGGCTAGGAACATCCCTTGGAAGTCTCAGCCTACCAACTTTGTTAATTCCCGAGTTAGCCATTTTCCCGTCAAAAAATTCCGCGGGGCCGTGCGTGAGAATCGCGCATGCCTGGAGGATGAATTTGATGACTTTAAGTCGTACATGAGCTAAAAATATCCCATGAAAATTTCAGCTTCCCGGCTCTGCTACTTCCCGAGTTAGTCACTTTCCGAAAAATCGCTCGGGGTCGTACGCGGGAACCACGCTTATCTGTGGGGTTAAGTTTGAAATCTTTGAGTTATATTTGGACCGGGAACATAACCTCAAAATTTCAGCATTCTATCATTTCTCGTTCCCAAGATATCAGTTTTCCCGCCAAAACTTTCCCCCTCTCATACGCGGGGTCCAGACGTGCGTGAGGAATGGTACCGCGGTTCTGGGGCGATACTTAGCCGGGGCACTCAACAGCAAAATCTCGACGTTGGAACTTATTTGGTTGCCGATTTGAAATACCTGGACAGACGAACACACACACACA